ATGCAGTCTGTATGTTACGCGAAATACGGCTCGTATATCGAGGTGAATCTCAGCGAATTTGTATAGTTTCATACGAAGATTTGTGGAAAACCTAGTGCATATTTGTCATCGCTTTTGAATTCCCCAAATGAAGCTGTTCGAAAAACTATTTTCTCTTCACTCGTTGCCTACTTGGTGCATTCTAGATAAAAACTTATTTGGTCGTGGATAAGGTAAATCAAGCTTGAACTAAAAGGTAGGGAAGTACTGCATACTTGTTTCAACCTGTTTGGGTCTCATTAGTACTGCGAATCCGTCGAATCAGCCGGGAGTTGAACCCTGTACCTTACAGATCGAATGCAAGTACACAACTCTCTAGACCACCGGTCAACTGATCGAACCGATTTTCATTAGCCTTGTACACCATATAACACAACTCAACTTTACAAAGGTGTTGCGGGCTTCACATTTAACTCGTCTCAGCATTAGCTCCTGGGGTTATGGCTTGTTTGGAAACATTCTAAACCTGACTGTTTGTTACACGATAGTGGTAAAGGATTTGATTTAAGCGATAGCATTTAGCTAACTTGTGTTGAGCAATTTCACGGGTTCTATTTAACAATCAATGGTCCAGATTTATTTGTGGTTGTAACTGGGTTGAGTAACAGTTACACGGAGGCTTCTGACAACGCTTCTTAGGACGGCTTCACTTGGTTCCCATGTCACAGTCACAATTTGAATTGTGTTGGACTGTGTTTGCATTTCAGGAGCTGTGAAACTACATTTGGCTGATAGTAAGCAGCGAAACAATATGCCTGAACAATCTTCCCGATCATCAGCATTCGCTTCCAGTGGTAATATCGTATCTATCAAAACGGCACTTGATGAGAGTACCTGATTTATTCTCTCAAGCATAACTGAAATCCAGGATATGTACGACTGGGGGAAAAGGTATCACATCGAATCTGGTCAGTGACTTGAGTGCATGAATTAACTGTGGTTGAAAATTACTGTGATGTATTTCCTCTTTAATCAAAACACTTGAAATATGTCGTCATGTATGATGATTAAAAATCAAGACCATGTTCAATTAGTTTAAACAGATAGGATGTGGATTCCACCAATTAGAAGATTAGGAATTCTCCAACGAAGGTTCGCGGTTTGAGTCCTGACAGGGGCTCGAAAAGTATGCACTGCTGATGACTCAAAAACAGAAAGAAAACGTTGTCCAGTGCTCTTCTTCGGTCACTTCAGAATTTCCCGTCGCATTTGAATGAGCTCTTTATTATCAACCATTTTTCTGGAAATCACTAATTATCCAAAATCGTAGTTGAAACACAAGTTTGAACAGGAATGTGCTTTATTGCTTTTTTGGACAATTCAGGGTTATTTTGTCGTCAAGATAGTGTGCCATGTTTCTCTCTCTCTCTCTCTCTGTGTGTGTGTGTGTGTGTGTGTGTGTGGTATAGTTGGTTGAAATGTGAAGCAGCTGAGTTTTGATCGCACGCTTTTCTGCAGAAAGATCAGAGGGCAACTTTCAATGCACTGAGCTTAGTTCTGTGGGCCCATTGAAGGGATTGTGATTTGGTCTCCTACGGAATTTATGTCCGCATAATCAACATACAATAATCTTTTTGTGAGACGATTCATCGGTGACGGTTCTAAACCAGAAGTGTATCATGAAATCCGTTGCTTACACCGCTGAGCTCACAACTCAAGTGTGATAGTGGAAGTTGATTTCGGAAACCGCGCTCACATTTGAAGAAAACAATTTTTCGCAATCTGATTGATCCTTGTACTAAGTTACCTTTAGAAGTACAAGAGGAAAGTTATGCATTGTTTAAAAAAGATGTTGAAAAATATGGTGGACTAAAATTGGCAAACAAGCTCATTTCCCGTGTATCATTCATTCACTTGCCAACTACAGCACTCTGCTATAGGTCGCAAAATAATATAAGAAACAGAGCACAGTATACCAGGTCTGTATGTGTGTTCATGTGTATTGGTAATATTGTGAGGGATGCATGGAAGCTCAAATCATACTGCAAATATCATTTATTCTATCACAGAATGAATGTTGCAGAATGCTCACTCACAAGCATCCCTTACAATATTACCCATACGTAGGAATATACACAGACCTGATCTACTCTATTCTCTTTCCTTGACTTCTGTTATTTTGTGATCTATAAACGGGTGCTGTAGTTGGCTAGTGAATGAAAA